AAAATTATGTATGTAAATAGTGGCAAAATAGAAAGCGCTCACAGAATTGCAAGATCTTTTTTGTAATATTTCAAGCTTCTACGAAATTCGTTTATCTCACGAGTGGTTCTATTCCTATGAAGGTTAAGTAAACAGCTAAATGCCGATTAACGGAAAACAAACATACTTTTCACTGACGGCTTTTCAGAAGTTTTCATGCACATGGCGCCTTATTAAGTCTTTTATTTCTTGCAGAAGCTAGAGAGAAAAATTATGTTCAAACAAGCATACTCTTATGTAACACCTCTATCTTTTGTCAATCAAGGTGTTCTTCTTTGATGTCTGTACGCTCACCCTTGTCTTATTTTAAGCGTCAGTTCCTCTATTCGAATTCTTCTAAGAATGTTGTCTTCTTGGTTTTTCATAACTTTTATTAGTTTTTGGTTGAGTCGCGGGTTTCAAGAAAGCTTTGGGAAATTACCAGCTATTCTTAAGTTTAAATGTCATAGTTTAGAGTTTTGCGGCATGTGACAATAGCTTTATGACAGGTGAACTTTTCGTTAGATTACAGGCTACTACTTAACATTCTCAATATTGGTTAGAGTTTTGGGATTAGAAGAATGTTCCAGCGATGCTTGTGGGCGAGAAAAGTTCCTTCAACTTGAATCGCAAGGAGAGAGAGCAAATTGGAACATTAGATTTCCGTCGCTCCGAAAATTTTCTATATTTTCTCCTGTAGTCTCCTCTTTCGCTAATGTTATTACTCATAGTAGCTAAGGGAAGCGGTAGACATTGGACGGCACCGGCTGTCTCCACATTTGTGAGCCTCGACTGACCTCCCGAACGGCCATCTGCCCTCTATTTGGACGTCGAGGCTGGAAGTATTGATCCGCGCTAAGGCAAGCATTCCTCCCGTTGTGTGTGGTGTATATCGAATATGGCTGTAGTGCGGAGCTGCAGTTGTCAGTTGCATTGGGCAGAATTCTGACTTCAAATAACTTTAGTTCTACCACTTATTTTGCAGAACCCCGACAGTATATGTCCTGCAGACATTATGTTGAGGTACTCCTAATTTCCTTGTCATGCACTACCTTGCTAAGTTTACTCCCAGTTAATAACAGCAACTGGCTGCGGATATGTTTTCAGTTCAGCTTTCCCCACTTAGTTAAATGCTGTGGCGATGAGTCGCCGTATCTAGGCGATAGAGGCGAATGTTTTTGCCTTCACTCTCTCTACTCCAAAACTGCTTTACTATGAAATATCAGTCGACGTGCATCGCCGTGCACAACACCCCCTCACGTCTACATTGTGTTTCATCAACCGCAAATCGACTCTTTGGTGTAGATGAGCGGTTCATCGCAATTGGGGCTACGCGAGGTCAGGGCGGACGGAGAAGAATGGACGGGCGAATCGCGCGCCATACGATGCATAACTGGCATGCTACGCTTATACGCAGTGTTCGAGCATGCATGTGCGTTCTCGCTGCGCGACGCGCAGATGGTTCAATCAATAAGCTGCTTGAAGGATTTATATCTTCTGGAGCGATGGAACATCTTCGACGTCACTAACCTCCATGTTTTGGAATTCCTCTTCATGCTGACGCACTCACATCTTGGGCACTGTAAACATGGTTATTGATATCTCGGTAATGTTGATAGTATTTCTAAGTGGTTGTGTACTGGATGTTTAATATGTTAACGCAAACATTTCCTTCCCTTCCAAGTGCTGATTATAAATTTTACCCCTACGTAATATTGTTTCTATCTCTTCTGAGCAGCAGTCAATTTTTTTAATCAATTTTTCCTTCTTTCTTTTTGAAAGAAATGTGGTACTCCATTTGGTTTCATTCACCCTCTGAGACACCTGCAATAGGCAGTCAATACTCTTTGCAACTATATCTGTGGTCAGCTCATCATAATCAAAAAAAACCCAGATGTTCATCAATGTGCTTTTTACCCTAGAGGTTCTCGAAGATACTCCCCTATGTCACCAACTAGTCACAGGCCTTGGTATTGTTGAAGTTGCATAAGCAGAAGCCATATAGCTTTTATAGTTCACTGTTCAGTCATTTACATTGACGTAGCACGTTGTGTGATGTTGCTCATCACCGCAATTCAAACGCCTGAGAATCAGTAGGTTGGGCTATAATCAAACATTCTTTCTATTGTCTGACCTTGATTGACGGGTACTATTTAGTATTCAAAGTCTTTCTCCGCTTTATTGTCAAGGAAATGTTTTCCTTGCTGTCTCCATCTTTGTACGAGTTCTTATTATTTGGGATTTTTGCATGGATCAAACTAGCATCCTCTACCATTTTTTTTT